ATTAAAAATTAAATTAAGGTCCGTACTCCTACTGTTGTCTGTCGAAATAGTAAAGTTAATTTTTATTCTTTTTATTTGGTCGTGAGTAGTATTCAGTGTGTGTGTGTGTGTGTGTGTGTGTGTGTGTGTGTGTGTGTGTATGTGTGTACACACACATACACACACACACAAACACATACCCCAGTTCTTTATCCAGTCATCTGTCGGTGGACATTTAGGTTGCTTCCATGTCTTGGAAGCAATTGTAAATAATGCTACTGTAAACATAGGGGTGCATGTATCTTTTCGAATTAGTGCTTTCTCTGGATATATGCCCAGGAGTGGGATTGGTGGGTCTATTTTTACTTTTTTTAAGAAATTCCTATACTGTTTTCCATAGTGGCTGCTTGAAATTACATTTCTGAGCCTGGTTTCATCTTGATTTCAGTATACTTCACTAGGCTGGGGGAACTCTCAAAGCACATGAAAAACATTTATTTGACTTAAGTCTCACAATTATACCCCTTCAGTTGGTGGCTGGCTGTCACAAAGAGCTTACAGAGACCACAGTGTTTATAGGTCAACGTTTGTGCTGCCCCCTTCACAGTCTCCTGCTAAGAGTGGAAGGTCATATTTCATTCCACCTTCCTGGTCAGGGGTGGGCACCCAGGCCAAGGTGAGTCACACTGCAGATTGGTCAATGGTCTATAAGATGGCTCAATACCAAGGATCTGCCCAAACTGTTCTGATGGTGTAAGCAATTTCTTTGTCTTTAAGAGAATCGAGGTACAGAGAGTTGTTTGGCTGTGGGACCAGGAGCTGAAAGTACAGAGAGAGGACAGTCTGCAGATACCACAAGGCCTCAAAGCCTTGAGTAAGCTGAAGTCAAGAGGTAGAGGAAAGGTGAGTATAGCGCCAAGACACACATAGCTCCCTGAACATGGTAACAGGTGTCCTAAGTGGGGTTTCCTAGGCCAGTGCATTTGGGTAACACCACATGTGTATCCCCTCTTGGAGAGTCACATGGTGCTTTAGCATTTTAAAGATTCGGAAAACCCCACAGAAAGAAGCTTGTCTAATGCTGTTAACTCAGTGTTTCCCAGATGTATTTGACAACAGAACTCTCACCTGTTCACAACTTACCATGTTCCAGGGACCAGTGTTCGGAGTGGAAGCTGGTGTGTGGGCGGGAGCAAAAGGAGAGATGGCAGCGGAAACAGAGAGGCAGCTCTGTCGAGTTTCTGGTCATTAGATCTATTCCACACTTGGAACTGCCTTCTAGTCACTGTGAGGTCTGGGTCCAGCTGTCCTTGGGCTGCCGTGGTATTTTAGTGTTTCTTATTTCCACCAGTATTCTTACCTCAAACCTTTACTAATTAAGATGAGTTGAGTGAGTCTTTTTACTTGTAACTAAGAGTCTGACTAATGTAACTGGACGTTAGATGTGTTTCCTCAGATACTACGACAGGTGACAGATGTCCCAACTTCCTCAGGAGTGTTGGACCACCTCTATGGGTTGTGCAAGGAAACTGTGGAACTGGTGTGGCCAGCATTCACCCCTCATGTGCTCCAGGTGAGGGGGAAGAATCATTTTGGGGGTGGACAGTGAGAATCCTTTGGCGAGAGTGTTGTCAGTGTGTCTTCCTTGGGCAGCAGAGAGAGAGCTCCCCTGGGGTAGTAAACAAATAAGAGGGCCTTCAGAGTTTCAGATGAAGGGACTGGTACCTATTTCTTTCTGGCCAGAGCTGGGAGAATGAAGCAAGAAGGCAATGATGGAGGAGCTGGACTCCCACTGGTGGAGGAACTAAGGTGTTAACAGGTGAGGACCCATGACAGAGGCATGGGACTTTTATCTTTTTATTTTTTAATTCAAGTATAGTTGATTTACAATGTTGTGTTAGTTTCTGGTGCACAGCATGGTGGTTGAGTTATATATATATACATTTTCATTATAGGTTATTACAAGCTATTGAATATAATTCTGTGTTCTGTACAGGAGGACCTTATTGTTTATCAGTTCTGTATATAATAGTTTGTATCTGCTAATCCCAAACTCCTATTTTGTCCCCTCCCCCTTCCCCCCTGGTTACTGTAAGTTTGTTTTCTATGTCTGTGAGTCTGTTTGTATTGTAAGTAAGTTCTATTGTCTCTCTTTTTTTTAAAAGATTCCACATATAAGTGTTATCATATGGTATTTGTCTTTCTCACTTCACTTAGTATGACAATCTCCAGGTCCATCCATATTGCTGCAAATGGCATTATTTCATTCTTTTCTAAGGCTGAGTAGTATTCCGGTGTGTGTGTGTGTATATATACACACACCACATCTTTATCTAGTCATCTGTCGATGGACATGTAGGTTGTTTCCATGCAGCTGGACTTTACCTTAATGAAGAGAATCTCGCAGAGGGACAAGGGGAACCCAAGCATCAAGAGGCTGGTGGTGGATAGTAGGGGAAACTAGAGCTGTGGGGATGGCATTCGTGGCCAGTTGGAGGAAGCACCATCCATCCTGATGACTACATCAAGGTCCTCAGTGGGCAGAGGGTGAGGAAGAAGTGTTGGTAACCGTGTATCTGCTGTGCTGAGACCCGCTTTCAGATGACAATTCCACTGGTGTAGGAAGACTTTTAGTGTCCCTTCCTTTTTTCCCTCCCAGCACTCCCTCCGCCCAAGGGGGATTCAGAGGCAGCAGAGGGCATGGGGTGGGGGAGGCATAGAAGGAGCATAGAGAAGGTGCCCCGCGCACCCCATTCTCAGGAGGTTTCCCAGCAGAGGTAGGTGCCAATTGAATGAGAGTTTGGAGATTGGTTTTTTGAGAAGACTTGAATTTTTTTGCCTAAAAAGACCAAAGGACTTTTATTTTCAGAGTGACCACAGGATCTCTGACCCTTGGGCTGGGATGGAGAAGGTCTATGCAGTGAGTTTTGCAGAAGTTGTGCCTTTGGCTTATTCAACTCTGCACTCTACATTCCAGGAGTAGGACAGAGCTAAAAAATCAATTTCCAGGGTTTAATAAATATTTACACTGCTTCTAAGTAACTATGCATGAACTAGCTCTAACATGAAAGATTGTAGACACTAAGACTGCACATCCGATTAACGCAGTCAATTCATATGCATTCGATCACTGAGGATTAATAAACACCTCAGCTGGATACTGGGGCTACAAGGATGAATAAGAACTGCTTCTTGTCCTAAATAAGCATGCAGCCTAGTGTGAGAAGCCCCAGTCCAGCCTGGGGCTTGCTTCCTTCACGTTGCAGAAGAATCACAGTGGTGTTGGTTCAAAGATATTGTCACTCCTAAGTCTGATTTGATAGATCTGGGTTGGGACCTAGGACTCTGTATGTTAACAAGCACCTTGTTCTAAGGCCATCAGTGGAGAAATAATAATCTAGCCTCTGATCTGCACCGCATACCAAGGCAGTGTTTACTGCATCAGGACATGCATTACTGATTGTCTCACAGTTTACCCCAGGATGTGCAGGATGGTGTAACCCATTTGGATACAACATTTCTTTCTTTTGTCCATAAATAAGGTTTTATTGGGATATGCTCATTGGCTACAACATTCTGCTTTTTTTTTTTTTGGTGGAGGGGGAGCAATTAGGTTCGTTTGTTTGTTTATTTATTTATTATTAATTTTAATGGAGGTACTGGGGATTGAACCCAGGACCTCGTGCATGCTTTGCACGCAGTCTACCACTGAGCTACATCCTCCCAACCCTGTTCTTTATTACATCAAATGAAAATAGCTGGATAGATTTGCACCAAATTAGAAGAGCATGTTTGGGCTTGTCAGACTTAAAAGACAGGGTGAAGGAAATTTACTGGGTGAGTTCCTGAGGAGGGAGTCCTTTGCAGAGAGAGGCAGCTGTCTTCAGATGGGTGTCAGGTGCTGAATTCTGACAACGCTGCTTCTCCCCAGAGCAGGCTGGGCTTAGGGTGGAAGTAGCAGGAGTTTATTGATTTAATGGTGGTTAATGATTGATGTAAGTATAACTGATAACAGAATTTTCATAAAAATATGCAGGATAAAATGGACTATAAGCATGTGAACACAGAGCTTTAATCCTCGTTCAGCTCTCTGTTTATGGAAATTTGGCCAAAGTTCTTGTGTTCTCTAGTTCCCTGATTATATAATTAGGACAGGGCTGGCTTTTTTTTCATAAAGTAGTTGTAAGGGATAATGAATGCAACCCCATGTTAGCACTTAGAAACTTTATAAAGATGAGTTTTTTTTTAAAGATGAGTTTTATTATATGTTAGAAATGCAGAATAAGCAGGATGAGCTAGATTTTATTGTAAGAGCTTGGACCGAGTTTAATCTGTCTTCCCTTATACTGTACTGTTTTGTTTATTTCCTCTATTGTCTGCTTTGATGACTCAGTTTACAAGTGTGATGTAATTTTGAAATCACATGTGATTAGATTTAAAAAATCTAACATGAGAACCAGGGCATTTAGAAATTTTTAGAACGCTGAACAGGACTCTTAGAGATGAAGCAAGATGGAGGAGTGTGCTAAGCGACTGACTGTGGACTTACAAATAGAGGAGTCCATTCTCTTTTGGTTATTAATTTGCTAAGGGGCCTTGAGCCATAAATATAAATGAAATCTGTGAAAAATTGACACATGTACTCAGATCAGGGCAATATATCACCACACCTAAGATATGGTGCAATTTGAAAGTCTTAAATATTTAACATAATTCTGTGTCATATAATTACTTGTATGGCATTATCTTTAATAGGACCTGATTAATGAGGGTGACATAAAGCAAGGATGAATATTAGTTCTTCAGACACTGATGTTCAGATAGCCACCTGAATAGTCATTTTTCCTCTAAGTCCTGTTCCTTCAGGATTATAGAAATGTCAATTGTTTTTGCAGAGTTTCCATTTCCAGAAGCAGTTATTTATAATCCCCAGAGACCTCTTCCCTAACAGACTACAGTAAAACTTAGAATTAATGGTGGTGACATTTTAGACCTAAATTACTGCCTTTGCGGTTTAAATAATTATCCTGCTATGTCTGTGGAAGAGACTTTCAAATTTTTCACTTCATTCCTGGCTTCTCCCTCATCTCCACCTCGTGACTCCTTTCTTGTCCCTTACAACTGAATGCAGGAGGCTGAATTTCTAATTCTCCCCTTTAAATTTTTCTGCTTGTTAATAGTACTTTCATGGTAACTCATCTAAAATAGCTTTTTTAAAAAAACAAATTCTTCTCAGTGGTCATCTCTGGCCACCCATTTTGTTCTTCCTTTTGGCAATGAATAGCTGCTATGTGCTGGTCCATCCTGGGATTTACAGGTTTCTTCACCTGTCTTTCTCTGTTTTTGTACTTTATTCCTCAAAGATGATTCTCTCTCTCTCTATATATATATTTTTTTATATAATTTTTTGAGCAGTTTTAAAGGGTCACGGCAAAATTGAGCAGAAGGTATAGAGCTTCCCCATGTACTCCCTGCCCCTATAACATGCACAGCCTCCTCCATTATCAACATCTCCACCCACCAGTGGTACATCTGGTACCGTTCATGAACCTACATTGACACACTGTAATCACTCAGAGTCCATAGCTTACTCCTGGGTTCACTCTTGTGTTGTACATTGTATAGATTTGGGTAAATGTATATGGACATATATCCACCTTATAATATCATACAAAGGAGTTTGACTGCTCTAAAAATCTGCTGTGTTCCACCTATTCATCCCTCCCTCCCCCTAACTGTTGGTTTTGTAATAAATAATTGTTGAGTGCCTACTGTCAACTGGGAATGGACTAGTTACTTAAAAAACAAACTAAAAAATAAGGTCCCATGTTACTTAGAATCTTACTGTCTGTGGGAGACCAATACCTAAACAAATAACCTGATGCAATAAGCTAAATTGCTTTAAAGAGATTGTGGGTCAGTAGGATGGGAGAAATGGAGCTCATAAGTCGAGGATGTGGAGAATGCTTCCCAGCAGACCTATCTTCTCTAGTGGGAGTGTATGGCATGCAGTGGAAAGGGCTTGGTGCAGAGGGGGCAGGGGATGTCATCTCAGCTGGGAGGATGGCATCTCAGCTGGGAGAATGGCACATGCAGAGGCCCAGCAGCTGTGTGGGACGAGGCCTGCTCAGGGTGATTACAGAAGACCTGTTTGAAGACCTGGCTGTGTGGTGAGGTGTAGACGGAGATGAGACTTGGAAGGGAGACAGGGCAGAGATTGTGAAATGCCTTGAAGAGCAGGCAAAAGGAATTTATTAGGTTTTATCTTGGAGGCACTGGGAAGCCACTGAAGAATTTGAGCAGCATTCTGATATGATCAGATTATTACATTGGAAAAACTCTAGTGGAAGGGTGGTAGACAGATGAAAGGGCAGCAGGACTGGAGGCAAGAAAGGCCAGTGAGGATGCTTCCATAATATTTAGTCTGGGATTCAAACAGGGCAAGAGTAGGGCAGTTAGGGGGAGACGGAGAGGAGAGACTTATGAGGTACACAGGATTGGGAATGATTAAATAATGGGGCAAAGAAGAAGGACGTTTCTGGCTTGGTCAACTTAACATTTATCAAGATAGAGAAGACAAAAAGGAGCAGGGTCTTTTTTTGGTGGGGGGTGGGGATTGAAAAGAGGAAAAATGTGTTTGGCTTTGACTACAGAGAGTGCGAGGGGCTGCAGGAACATTCGGGTGGGCGTGTTGAGCAGAAAGGGAGCTGCACAGTCGTGGAGCTAAGAAGAGCCTTCGAAGCAGGAGACGTTGAACTGGGAGCTGTGTTGTCGATGGTGTGGGAAGGAAGTAGGAGCAGAGCAGGTGAGCGTGCATGG